ATTTGACTTAACCTTATATAATTGTGTTTTTTAAAAATAAAAGGTTCAAATACGATTCATATTTATGATGAAACATATCTGACTTGACCTGATCTAATCTGACCCAACCTTATATAATCATTTTATTAAAAAAAAATTAAGATATGTTGGGTTTAAGTTTAAAGTGAAAAACATTATACCCGACCCCGACCTAAAAATAATAATATAATTGACTTTAATATATTTAGGGATAATTATATAATACTTTTATCTATATTTTTCAATTATCTTCCTATTTTATATAATAAAATTAAGTATTATATCTGAATGTGTATATTAGATCATGTTGGATTGAGTGTAGATTTTATCTTAAAAATTAAATTAAGTTTAAATCAAATGAAATTTTTTTAAACTAAAATTAAGTTGGGAGACGGATAAAAAATTGTTATATTCAAATTAAGTTCGAATGTGTAAAAAATATGACGTTAACAAAATTTTAGAATAAAATATATGTATTATATCCAAAGAACAACAGCAGCAAGATGCTACAAAGGACTAGAATGTTGAAAAAAAAAAGACAAAATGGTACCTGAGGTCCTCTACTTTTAAAAAAAAAACTAATGTGCCCCTCCACTTTTTTCTCTCTCAATGTGGCCCTCTAATTTAGAAAAAAAAGACTCAATGTGGTCATTTGACCAACGTTTTTCATCGTTGATTGACAGGGTTGTTACTTTGTGCTGACGTGGCACGTTAAACAGGCCAACATCCTATTTTTTGTCTTTCAATCTGACCCTCCAACTTAAGAAAATAACTAAATATGACCATTGTAGATATGTTTAATGCTGTTATAAATGAGAAAATTATGTCTTTCATTACTCAACTATCTTCTCTCTTCTATTTTAGGCACTAAACTTTAAAAGTTTTCAATTTAATCACTCAACTTTTGAATTACTCTTGTTTTGATCATCATGATTTATTTTATTAATATTTATGTATGATGTAGCATTTATTATTCTTATTTTATTAATATATGATTAAAATAATATTAATTAAATTAAAATTTTAAAATTATATTGAAACAAAAAAATATTCCAAAATTATAATTAAATTAAAAATATTCCCCCTACTTTATATTTTTTCAAATCTCCACTCTCATCCTTTATCCTCTCATTTCATTTTTCTCCCTTTTCAACTAAAGAATTCTTTTCTTTTTTCCTTTCATTACCCGATCAAGTAGGTCATCCCCAGTTTTTTCAATTTTTTTACAACTTCAATATGGGTCCACTGAATCTGGTAATGAAAGAAAAAAAGAAAATTTTGATTAAAAAGGAAAAATGTCACATTATACATAAATTCCACATCATACATAAATGCCACATCATTCATAAATATTAATAAAATAAATCGTGATGATTAAATTAGGGGTAATTCAAAAGTTGAGTGATTAAATTGAAAACTTTTAAAATTTAGTGACCAAAATAGAAGAAAAAAATAAGAGGGCCACATTAATTTTTTTTTTTTAAATGGAAGCCTAATATACCCTTTAGTCAATATATATATATATACTCAGTCAAGCAAGCTCTAATCTATACAAAGTCTAGAATTTACAATATTAGTCCAATCAAATTTTCCTTTATAAAGATTACTTCTACGGTTTCTTTATTGCATTTAAAACATCAAGTTTCTCACTAGCAGTAAACACCATGCTAATTGTAGTGGTGTTCAAAATTTTTGTTAACCGATTAAACTAATAGAACCAAAATTTCTCGGTTAATCGATCAATTAACAATTAATGATTTTTCAAAGTTCGGTTATCAGTTAATTAGGTTTGAAATCGGTTAATTAACCTAATTAACTATTTTTTAAAATATTTAATATATTAATAGCTTTAGGAGTGTTTAAATTTTGGTTTTAACCAAATTAATCTACTGAATTAACCAAAAATATTAAATATATAATATATATTATATAAAATTTTGATTAATTTGGTTAACCGACCTATTGACTAAATTTTATTCAGTTTAGTTAATTATTTTCAAAAAAATTTGGTTCGATTAACAGTTAACACGAAAAAAAATCAATTAATGAAAATTTAAATTTAAAAGAAAACACCAAGTGCATCCCATTATTTGAAAAAAATATGAAATTTAGTTTAACATATTAAAAAAAATTTACATACCAATTATTTGTAAGAAAAAATATTAAAAATTTATACTCGTATTTTTAAATTTCTAGATCAGACCAAAACCGTTAATCTTTGAGAGTGAGGCGATGCATTGATAGGGTCCCCAACTCCCCACGGAGACGGCTCAGAGTCGAAGTAGGAAATATTCTTTAAGTAAATTACAAATTTGACAGCTGAACTTTCATATGATTCTCATTTTACTCAAAATACTTTCAAAGTTTTCAATTTGCTCACTCAACTTTTAAATTCCTCCTGTTTTGGTCACTCAATCGTTAAATAGCTAACGATGTTATGATATGATAATCTCAACAAAAACGACGTCATTTAATATCCTACAAAAAGTTAAGGGTAAATTACAAATTTGATAACTAAACTTTCATATAATTTATATTTTACTCACCGTACTTTTAAAATTATCAATTTGCTCACTCAACTTTATAGATTGAGTTTTTTTGTCACTGTTTCAGGGTTAGATGAACGAACGGCCAGCGGAGGCAGAGACGGTGAAAGGGCAAATCGACTGGGTTTTGGTTGGAAAGAGGAGAGGACTTCAGTGGTGGCGGGGTGAGACAAATGACGATCGAGGTGTTAGAAAATCGATGAAAACCAATGGGAGGCTTTGGTTTCCCGATGAACCATCGACAGTTTCTTTACGATTAATGGCGGGGAGCCTTGACGATCGACCACCAGGGTTTCGATCAGGAGGAGACGCCGGTGTTGGAGATGGAGGTGCATGGTCGGAGATGGGTTCAACAATGAGGGCAGCAATGGACGATCGTTGACGATGAGAAGTTTAATGGCAGAATGATCAAAATTGAAAATTTTGAAAGTACGGTGAGTAAAATATGAATCATATGAAAGCTCAGTTATCAAATTTGTAATTTACCCTTATTATAATTATTATGTGGAAATCCGATGTGGCATGTTTAATATTAGAATATTCCACACCAACGAGTTGTCAGTGATATAACGGTGGAGTGACCAAAAAGGTTCAATCCACAAAGTTGAGTGAGCATATTGAAAATTTTGAAAGTACGGTGAGTAAAATAGGAATTGTATGAAAATTCAATTAACAAATTTGTAATTTACCCATATTCTTTAGACTTCAAATATATTTGTACAATTAAAACTTGGGATTCTTTAGACTTCAAATATAATTCAATGCAAGAAAAAATTACTCATAAAGTTTGTTTGTTTTAATAAAACTAGTCAAGGTATTGATATTTCAATAAAAAAAATATAAGTTAATTATTTAACTGATACATATATTATATTAAACTATTCTATGTTTTATAAATTATTTAACCGATACATTATCTAGTGATTAATAAATTATTAAAAATTTATAGAAATAAAGACGACGACGACGACACGGTGGAGAAGATGCTATAAAGTATGTTATACTAAGAATTGATACATTATATTAAAACTTTTATTTTTAAATTTATTTTTCAAAATATGTCTATTAAATTTATCGTCAGTTTCTTTTGTAAAATATGTTTTTCTGCAAGGACGTTTTTAAATATGTTAAGAAGTTGAAAAAAGTGAATTTAATTATGCTTTATTAATTATTGTAATTTAATTATTTTTTATTAATTATTGTAGAAGTCTTCAAATTTATTAATTAATTTATGTAAAATCTATAAACCCATGGTTTAAATATACAAATAGAAAAAAACAATTGAGTTTAGGGATGGCAACGGGCCGGGTATTGGTCCTCACGTCCCTGTCCCCGTTTAAAAAATCACGTGTATTTAAACGGGGATCCCCATCGGGTAATCGCGGAAAACCCGGGGAAACGGGTATGGGCCGGGTATCGGGTCGGGTAATCGGGGCGGGATTACTAAACCCGTCCCCGTTTAACATAAACGGTTTTTCTCGTCCTCGTCCCCGTTTAGCATAAACAATTTTTTCCCGTCCCCATTTAATTCGGTTTTTATTTTCCCCGTCGAGTTCGAATTTTTTGCCATCCCTAATTGAGTTCAGTTCAGAAGAAAAGATTTTGTATGCTTAAACGCACAATATATTTCAACTTAAAGATTAGGGTAAAATTTACGCTTAATACCTACACTATAAGTTTTGATCCGTTTTAGTAACTAAACTTTTAGTATTTTCAAAACTATACCTAAACGGACTAGAACCTTAGTTTTAAAAGGCACAAGACCCAGCAGGACGCAAAAGGTCCCTAGAGTCTAGGCGCAGGGTGAAGGCGCGTACCTTTTCTAGGCAGGACACAATTTTATACTAAAAAACATATAAATCGAGTATACAATGTGATTTATACTTAAAACAACGTAATAATCATATTATATATGTTTAAATATCATAATATTCAATATAATTACACTAATAACATACATTAACATAAGAAAACATAATTCAAATACAAGAAAGCATAGTTCAAATACTTGAGCACTAATAGTATAAACAACCATAGTTCAATATTATATAATATACTTTAAATATGACAATATTATAATACCTGTAAAATTTGAATGCCTTTTAAATGAATATTCCCAAATAATAAATGCAGGCATAAACTATAACTTCCGATAGAAACAAACCCCATAAATTTAATAATCACACACACTCATTATTTATTAATTAAAAACAATTATAATTAATAAATATTTAATGCAGTTGACCAAATCTCCTTTTAGAATTTTTGAAAACTTAAAAGTAATCTCTAGTCTTTGTCATCCAATATAAAAAAGTATAATTAATTAAAAGTAACCTAAAATACTAAAATATACTAAAATTAATAATTTAGGTACTAAATACGCAATTTAACCTAAAATTTAAAACAAAATGGCTTTCAACCGAAGATAAAACCAAATTAGTCTATAAAAGCAGCTCTTTTTTTTTTATCATAAAGTAAAAGGCCAACCCATTGTATGTAAATGCTGCACCTTAAATACTTGAAACTCCTAAAAATAAACTAGAAACTGTAACTGTGAATTTGCTAGGCATTGTAGGCCTAAAAACTAAAAGGTCCATACCAGAATGCATGGATAGCTAGCTGTGAACGCAGCATCTCAAAGGCTGCAGAAAAAAATAAAAGCTAGGGTTCAGCCAAAGTTCCACATTGGACAAGATTCAGCCCTTGCCCTGGCTATGACTCTGCAGTTGAAGTGGCTTTCACCTCTTTTCGCTGCTTCTTTTCCGGCTTGGAATCGGTTCCCGGTCCCACAGACGAAATCAGTGCCTTCCGCTTCAAAGTTTCCACAGCATCAGCCGGAACAGTTGGGTTCTCTTTCATGCTCTCACTTTCTTTCACCTTGGTTGAACCGGATTTCGACTTGCCACCACCGTTTGCATCTGATTTGCCACCGGTTTTAAGAGGCTTGCCCCCTGGAATGGGAGGGAACTTTGGGGGTGTCCTGCTTGGACTTGGTTGTCTTTGTAGTGTCTTGGTTTGGCTCGTCCTCGGGTTTAGTAGACTTGGGAGTGTCAACACTGTCCTCATTTTTGGATTTGCTGCCCACTTTTGAAGCAACGTCAACTGGTCCACTAACAGTGTTAGTGGTATGATCCTTGGCTTTGGTAACATTGTCGCGCTTGGGTTTGTTGTCATCCTTCGGTTTGGTTGGCTTGGCCGTAACGACACCGTCCTCAGTTTTGGACTTGCTGCCCACTTTTGAAGCATCGTCAACTGGTCTACTACCACTTTTAGGGGTATGATCGTTGGCTTCGATAACATTGTTGCCATCCTTCGGTTTGTCATCGGCCTTGGGTTTGGTTGACTTAGGCCTGTCGACACCCTCCTCAGTTTTGGGTTCGCTGCTCACTTCTAAAGCAACAACAACTGGTCTACTACCACTTTTGCGGGTATGATCCTTGCCTTTGGTAGCATTGTCACCATCCTTGGGTTTGTCGTCGCCCTTGGGTTTGGTTGACTTGGGCGTGACGACACTGACCTCAGTTTTGGGTTTACTGCTCACTTCTAAAGCAACAACAACTGGTCTACTACCACTTTTACGGGCATGATCCTTGGCTTTGGTAGCATTGTCACCATCCTTGGGTTTGGTTGACTTGGGCGTGACAACACCGTCCTCTTTTTTGGATTTGGATTTGCTCCCCACTTTTGAAGCAACGTCAACTGGTCTACCACCACTTTTAGGGGTATGATCCTTGGCTTTGGTAACATTGTCTGCTTTCTCGTCACTATTGAAGCCACGCACTTTGCCATCTTTTATTTTGCTACCAGACTTCATGGCAGCACCCTTGGATTTTCCGGACGAAGCTCCTCCACCCCTGTAAATTCAATTCTGAGATATCCAGAAATCAAGGATAGAATCGTAACAAAGATTTTCGTTCGGAAGAATTTAATAACCTTTTTGGCGAAGCATCCATCTTGGCTTTCTTCACCAGCTGATCAGCAGCTTTTGCTTTCTCCTTTTGAGAGCTGTTAATGGAAATGGAAACAAGGGAGAAAAAATATAAGCCCATAGAAGATATCGGGCAGGAACAGACCAGGAAACGATCAAGCATATGCAAAGATAGTACGAAATATATTAATCCCTACACCTAAAGTAAAACTATAGCATTCACGTAGAATTAGTATTGCTAAATATCGGAAGACGTATCAACTTGCCAAAATACATAAATGACACTATCTATAACCATCATTGTGATACAATTAACTTTACTAATCAAGAATCAGAAAAGGAACCTACATTTCGAACGAACCATCTGGACTTGGATGATCTGCTGCAATCTCCTGTTTCAATAAAATATTAGCAATCTAGAACACCAATCAAATAAAAGCTTGTAATATACTATATTAATTAGGAAAACTGTCCACCTCATTCGACTTGGGCTCAACTTTGATCACCTCCCATTTTTCCTCCTTGAGATTCAAAATTTCTACATCACCATCATCATAGCACACCTACAGACGAGAAAATGAATTTTTTTTTAATTTCTAGCATGAACAGTCAAGAGAATCTGCAAAACATACAAGGAAGTTATTAATTGATGTGTCAACCTTGTGCTTCTTTATAATAGGATCAAATGACTCGATAACACCGTCATAGAATCTGCAAAAGAATAACACCCATAAGGGGAGAAAGAAACTGAACCTTAATCAAGTAGAAAAAAAAAACTCATATCTACGAACATTTACATGACTAAGTTCTAAAGTTGGTCCAGCCAAAGACTTGATAAATCTTCATACAAAGATGACTTGATTAAAAAGTAATTAACCCTCGAGTGACAAGTAACAAATAAATAACCATGTGGCACTTAAAACTCATCATTCAAAATAATCAAGTAATTCACCCTTTCAGGTACATGTTATTTACTTTCTCTACTAAGCATCCAGCATAATCGATTGATAGTAAGTGAAGAGGCCCAACAGAAATATAAGACAATAATAGTCCTTATAGATGTGGGGTAATACCGTTTCATACACTCAAGACTCACATTTGCACCACACATTAGAAAGAGAGCACTTTCAATTAATTATCTTCTTTTCCTTGGAGAAAATGTAAGTTGTGTGTGTGTGAGAGAACATGGTAATAGAAGAATGTTATAAACTGGTACGGAAAAAGACATTCACACGTATAAGAAAAGATAAAACAAATAATATACCATGGTTTCTATTTTTAGAGTATCTCCGCTATAATACTTGTAAGTAGAGCATGGAAATACAGAAATAAATATACTTACACATGGTCTAGAGGCCACCAGACCTTCACCTTCAAGCCAACTAGATTCTCATCATATTCTAAGGTATCAGACCCCTGACAGAGAATCAAAATGAAATATAAATCATTTGTTTCCAGAAGATGGATATGTGATATCATTGCTTCAACTAGTTTCAAATTGCAGTTTGCATGAACAGAGTCAAGCAAAAGGTTTACGGTACTTCATATAGAATTATCTGAGCCTCTATTTCCATAATGAGATAAAAGGGACTAGCTATGATCTCAAGAAACAGCAAAAGGAATTATAGAAGTTAGCAAAATGACACATACAAGTAGAAGACAAATGCAGCCTCAACAGTCTTGTACCTACAGACACTTACTTTTTCTTCACTTTGTGTATACTTTCTCTTGGAATTTGACTTATGGATCTCATCCATGTGAGAATCATGTTTGTTTGGCTTCACTGCCTTCGGAGAATCAACCATTTCCTGAGTAAACGATAAGACAACAACAATTCCCTTTATTGAAGTATACAGAACAGCTAAAATGTAAATGATAAAGCTTTAAATAAACAACTCTAACAGAATATAATTTACAACTTAGAAAGCCAAAAGTAAGCACCTCATCATCAATACTGGTCGAGATTTTGGTTTTATCCTTCTCAGGAAGAACGAGTTTTCGCCGCTTTTTCTTATCCCCCATTTTCTTTGAGGATCCATATGCATTATTACTACTAGTATCCAGCTTCTTTGACACCTGCTTCAGTGTTTTTTCCTCTGAATCACTTGCAGTGCCACTTTCCTTCTTAGTTTTATCTACATCGGCTAGAGCACTGTCCTTGTTCGAAACTGCAGAAGCAACCTTTTTCCCTGGTCGTTTATTTGTTTTTTCTTCTGAATCACTCATTGCTCCAGATGACTTCTTGGAGGCATTGTCAACAGAAGGTGTGATGATCTTGCTCAAGCCATCTTTCTTTTTTGGCAGAGCGGCCTTGTTTGAATGGCTCTTATCATGTATGGTCCCACTTCGCACTGGGGAAGTAACATCATTGGATTCATCCTCAGTTGCTTTTGTCAGGGAAGGCTGAACATCTTTCTGTCCTTTATTTTCCTTGAATACAGCCCCATCAACAGAGGGATCCTCACAAGGTGGATGAACATCATCCTTACTGTCATCTTTCTGGCCTGTTAAGGTCTCAACTTCCTTACCATCAACATGAATGCTGTCAGAAGGTTCTGTTGATTTTGAATGAGGTTTCCCCTGTTTTTCCTTGGTACTTTGTTCCAACTTAGAATCTGAAATTACCACTTTCTCCCCTTCCAATCCATTAGGCTCAGCAACAGTCAACTTATCAACATTCTCAGACTTATCAGCAAAGCATTCATCCTCTTGCTTCTTTACGGAGTTTGAATCAGGCAGTATATTGTTTTCATCAGTTTGAGCAATGCCATTGCTAACAACTGAAGTTGGAGATTTTTCATTTGCATGATCAACTTGTTCAGTTAAAACTGATTCTTTAGGAATCTCTTTGTCCTCCTGCATAGGATTTGAGGATTCATAAATGACTAATTTCAAGTACCAAATTCTAATAGCAAAATTGGAATACAATAAAAAAAAAGGAAGCACTTGAATCCACTCAAACACACACACGCTCATAATACATTCATAAATATAAGAAACATGCCTGGATTGCATTGGCTAAAGGTGCCTCCGCTGGTTTGCACTCAACATCCTACAGAAAATTAACCCCAATAAGGATCAATAACAAAGTATTGTACAAAATTAAATAAACAATTCTAAACCTTAAACAATCAAATAGCACCTAATCTATCTGCAAACAATATAGACATACAGAACCAGAGAAAAAAATGACTAAACAAATTGCCCTCAAACAAAAAGAATTTATGGAATTATATTCAGATGCAAATGAGATAATTACCACACGTTTTTCAGTAGCAGCATCATTCTGCAGCACAACATTGGGTGCCACTTGGCATATAGAAGCTACTACGTTACTATAATCCTCAAAAGGAATTCCTGAGTTCTCTACAGCTTGTGTTAGGTAAGGTTTCAGCTTTGATGCACAGTTTTCAAGCACACTGCTCGCCAACCTCCTAGCAATAGGAAGAACCTCCTGAGAGAAAATAGATGCCCTATGTGAACTGAACAAGTTCAAAGAAGAGAACAGGTAAAAAATGACTTATATGGTAACGGACCTCATTATCTCTCTTTACCCTAGCTATGATCGTGGAGAGCAGCTCCATAGAGATGTCTTCACTTTCTTCTAAAACAAGTGTCATAATTGTCACCATTGATGTAAAGACAGTATCCGCATGATAATCTCTGAAAAGCAAACAAAAAGAATCACAAGAAAAACAATGGTTCAGAATGCATATACAAGATAGCATACTAAACCACTTCTTTTTTCTCTATTATAATAGCAATCTACTCGAGTAAAGCAGCCTTATAGAAGGACAAGGACAACAGGATCACAACAACTTTTTATTCTAGATAATGCAATAATTTTTTTTGGATAAGTTAATGCAATAATCTTGAGGAAAACTAAAGCTTACGAATCACACAGAACTCATAAGGTTGGAAATAATGGTCAAAGATTTATGTTGGCGAACGAATGTGAACAAGAGAATTCATCTCTCCAATCAGGGACTTAGTTTGTACCTTATTGCATTAAGAAAATGCTGGAACATCTCAATGATTAAAGCATCACATTCAAGATCCAACATCACCACACATGATCTGACTCTGGCAACAGTTTCAAGAATTGAGTTCCTCTTAATATATGAGCGATTCAACTCGTCAGACAAACTCTCAAATGATGATACAATCAGTTTAAAGACCTCCTGCATACACATTAAGAATAATCAACACTTTTAGTTCAGAAAATGGGTCAAAGATAATGAAATATGCAGAAAAAATGAATTCAAAGTACCCTCATTTGGTCATCAGGATAAGGAGCTTCTGGTGCAGTTATCCTTGTTATCTCGCTGATGCATGCAGCAACTGCAACTTTGACATCATCATCAGGATGTCTGAAAAGCTGCTCTGCAATCAATGCTTTAAGTGAATGAGAGAGTGCATTCTGCATTGCTTGACCTGGAGATTGTTCCACCCTTGAAAGAAAACTCTCGACTTGCTATATTTGCAGAGGATAGAAAAAACAAACAATCACCAATCAACGTAAAACGAGGATAAACAAGCATAAGGCACAACCCAAGGAATACTATCATGCCTAAAAATTCAGATAATCAATTTGATAATCTCAGCTTCATTAGGAATTGCTTAAAAATTACCCATAAAGAATAAATTTCTACAAAAAGAAACGGGTTTAATACATAATCCAGCCAACTGCAAGGGTATGGTTAACAGTGAGTGAAAGAAACAACTATGCCTCAGTCAAAATGTCTAATAGGGTATAGTTAACACAAATGGACCAAAACTTGAGCACGTGTAGATATATCCTAACTTAAATGCGCTCACGCGATTGCCTTTAGGAGGAATCAAGACTATTACGCTGTATATTGACCAAAATGTGAAAACTTTTAGACGCACAAACTTAAATGCAGTCTGTGTGATTCTATTTAGGAGGAATCAAGACCGTTACACTGTATACTGACAAAAACATGCACACTTGTGGATACACACTTACATAAATGCAGTTCATGTGATTTCCTTTAGGAGAAATCAAGACCGTTACGCCGTATATTAACAAAAACGCGCACACTTGCAGATGCACACTCACTTAAATACAGCCTGCGATATTCCATTTAGGAAGAATCAAGACCGTTAGGCTGCATATAGACAGAAAAAAAAAACCGCGCACGTAGACACACGCTCACTTCAATGTCGCTCGCGCGCAATTTTAAATCTGAAGAATCAAGACCGTTAGACCGCATATAGACACACCCTCACTTCAATGTTGCTCGCGCGCATTTTTAAATCTGAAGAATCAAGACCGTTAGGCCGCATAAAGACAAACACTCACTTCAATGTCGCTCGCGCGCATTTTTAGATCTGAAGAATCAAGACCGTTAGGCCGCATATAGACAAACACTCGCGCATTTTTAAATCTGAAGAATCAAGACCGTTAGGCCGCATATAAACATAAACAACCCCAGGCACAGAGATACATGCTCGCTCGAATGCAGTTCGTGCGAATTTTTAAATCTAAAAGAATTTCAAAACTGCAAACCATTCCAGCCAAATACTTGCTACTGCATAGCATTTGCACCCAAATACACACAGCATTCCAGCACTGAATCCATAGGAGACCAAAATCATTTTACATATCAGATTTTTGAAAAATTCAATCCACAATACATCTATAAAAAAGGATAGAAAATTGGCTATCCCCAGACTAGAACTGAACACCAGTTAGAACTCACTTTTGAATTCATTCAAGATAACAAAGTAACGGCAGAAGCATAATTGAACACACGAATAAATCCAAAACAACAACAAAAAGGGGGGAAATAATCCTTGAGGACAAAGGGAAATGCAGATTACTCCGATTTCAGAAAACCAAAAAATTTTCCAACAAAAAAACGAAACCAGCATGCACACCACAAAAACGAGGAATGAAACGAAAACAAGTCTGAAAAGAGTGAAAAAGAAGACGCTAGGGCTTACATCGAGGAGATTGATGAGCTTATCAACTGACGAGACAGGTTCAAGGAGCTTGTTTCCGGCCTCCATTAACTTCAGCTCGAGCTCCTTATCAGGTGAAGCCATGGCTTTTTTCCCCCTACGAACAAAAGTAAGCATGTACCTAAACAAACAAAGAGCCAAACAGTTCAAAATCAGTGTCTGGAAACCACCATTGAAAAGGCTCAAACCCAAAACCAAAACAGACGAATTCAGGTGGAGACGAAGACTTAGGGTTTCTTGATTCCTTCCCGTTAGTAGCTGAATGAGTGAATCGAAAACCCCTTGAAGACTAAGATCAGTGGTGTCAGAGGAAAAAGAGAGATTTTTTTTTGTACTTTTTCACACCTCACTTAGTCTCTGTGTCGGACAGTCTTTGTGCATGTGTTCGTTTGGTATTTAAAGGGGGAGAAAATCCAGTGCTCGGATTCCGCCTTGCTTTATAAACTGGATTTGATATTACGGCTTCAAATCCACCTTTGGATTTTCGGTATATGGGGTCCACCTAGATTTTTTTAGTTAAATTATAAATTTGTTTGTTAAACTTTACTTTCTTTCCTATTTCACCCACAATATTTTGAATCCTTTTAATTTATTCACTGAGTTTAATACACTAGATTTTTCCGGTCACTCAGTTGTTTTTTTACTAACAACGTTATAAATGGGATTTCATATAGATGCAAAACGAATTTGTTTTGGTGAATTTTTTTATTAATCTGGGGTAAATACAAAATATTATTTGTTCAAAGATAACTCTTAACTGCTTGACATTGAAAGCTCACACCCCATACATCCCTTGTGCTCGAACTCGGAACCTCAAAGAATAACAACAATTCATTTACCACTGAGGTTGTTCGGTTTGTGCTTTTGGTGAAAATTTTGTTTTTTTTCAAACTGTGTTGTTTTAACGCTAATAACTATTTAACAATAGAGAGACAAAAAAATCAATGTATTAAGTTCAGTGATGAAATTGAAAAATTTTAAAGTTAAGTGATCAAAATAGGAGAAAATGTAAATTTTAGTGATGAAATTTGTGATTTACTCTTTTTTCTAGGGCCACCTGATTTCCGCCCTTTTTTTCCGTCTATGGAAATTCAGTAACGGCTCGAAAATACAACTAAGCGCTGATGCGTAATATACCATTTATTTACCATTAAGATAACCCATACTTTTCAAAAGAATTAGAATTCTGTTAGCTTGGATAAGTTTGTAATAAATTTTAATTTTTCCACGTAAGAATTTTAGTTATATAAATAATAAACTTTAATTGTGTTTTTAATTATATGCCTAAGTCTTCTTATTTTGATTTAATTATGTGCATTTAAAGAAATAAACATCGTTCGAACAATGAATGAGATGTTAGATCTTTTAAACGGGGTTTAAGATTCGAATTTTAATATTGTAAATAAAGATAAAGTATACAAATAGTCTCTGACTATATGGCTCTGTTTTGTTGAGTCCCGCCACTATTAAAAGTCACAAAACGATCTCTGACTATATGATGTTGTTTTGTTGAATCTATCGACTATTAAAAGTTACATAATGGTCACTCGACTATTCATATGTTCCAAACTCTTCATTTTACGTTAAAAAACTGACGATCGTCTAAGCTACATGTTAACATGCTTACTGTAAAATAACAGGGATGAACGTAGGATTTTATGTTAGAGGGGACAAACATACAATATTCTAGGGGCGAAAACAAGTTTTCGATAGAAAATACATATAAAAAATCTAAAATATATGATAATTTTGAATTTTTAGAGGGAGACTGTCCCCACCCTTCCCCTCGGTTCATCCTTGGTAATATGATAAAATCATATTATTGACACTGCCGTTACTTTCAAGCATTGACTCGACGATATAATATTTCAAGGACTGACTCATCGATATAATATAAACGAAGAGTTGATCCATAAAATGTAACTCAAACAATTCTGGGAAAATATAGCTCAAACGATTTTGGGAAAATAAGCATGGTGGTGTGGGTTCTTTCTGACCAAAACAAGTTGTTAATATCATTTTGTCACTATTGAAATGCTTAAATTGAAGCAATTTTTTTTTTAATAAAATATGTAATAGTGACAACGTAGTGGATATGATTTTGGATATTTGCTTGAGCTTTTGACCTGCAGGAGTTTGCCCGATACTCAAACCGGCTTCTTCGAATTGATCAGCATGTACTTCCCCATGGTGTATGATATCAAGCATATGATGAAGTTCTGCAATAGCCTTCACGGTGGATTGAACAAGCTCGCCGAGTTGTTGGAAGTGGAAAGAGTTGGCGTCTGCCATCAAGCCGGCTCGGATAGTTTGCTCGCATCATGCACATTTAGGAAGTTGAGGGATAACTTTTTCAATGGCTGGACTGAGAAATATGCAGGTGTACTCTATGGCTTAGGGATGGAGAGCGGACAGAATGCTAATTAGAAGAAGAAGAAGAATATGCAAAAAAAGGATTGATAATGAATGTAGACTACTCGAGCGTGAGACTTAATTGTATTTGTATACATTGGCAAAAAAGATTGTTGATTTACTTGTGACCTCTCTCGTTTGCTTGCATTGTAACCCTTACATGATTGTTATTTGTTGTATGGAATTAGATGGATTGGACATGTAGGGTAATTGTTTAAGTGTGTGTTTTGCAGGCTTTGCTGCACTGAATCTGTAGGTTCAGCGAATCGGGCATGTTTATGAGGAAAAGCACGCAAGGTCTCTACTGGCTCGGGATGCATCATGTGATACGTGCTTTGCTGCTCCCGATCTTGCACGCGCAACAGATCAAAGCTAGCTTAATATCGAAAGGCCTGCAAGACATGTACCAACTCGGAATGCATCATTCTATTGCATCTGATAGGTTCAGCAAACTCAAGCATGCTTATAAGGAAACTCTTGCAACACCTGTACCGTATCGGAAATGCATCACGTAGGTTCTGTGACTCGAACAATGCTTATAAGGAACTGCTCGCTAGGCCTCTATCAGATGCAAATGCATCATGCAACACAGCCTTCATTAATCTGGTAGCATTTGATGTAATCATCAGGGATTATGGATCAAAACTGTGAGGTAAAGAGGAGGCTTACATATACAGATTGTGAGCAGGTTTGCTTGCTATTGTAACCGAAGTCAATCTGGAAATAAGGACCGAATAAAGTAAATTTCACAAGTGAGGCATCTTTTTGTGCATTTTCTTACATCTGTTCTTTCTAATTTACTGCAGTTTATTATAGGTACAGAAACCGAGAGAGAGATCTTCTTTTTAGGCATTTTATGGTTTGTATTACATACCAAATAGGTCATGGATTCTTCATGTGTGCATGAAAGGCATGTGTGTGTGTGTGAGTTACATTCTTCATTGTTTTTTCCCCTTGTTTCCTGGCTTAGCTTTAACGGTCATTCACATCATATTGCATTGGTGACAAATTTGTATGATTTTTTTTAATTAGACATAGGCAGGGACGGAGTTAGATCAAATATTGAGAGGGGTAATGTCTTATTTGACTAATATTTAAACTAACAAGGATTTAAAATATTGTTCTATCATAATTCATTAAGTGCTCTCAGTGGATAAAGGGAATGATGTTCTCCGTAGAGGTCTTAGGTTTGATTAGTTATATTTGCAAGTTGTGTGTGCGTTGTTCTGAAAATATATTACCTCAGACTATTAAAAAAATGCTACTCTACTCTCGTATTGGTTGTCTGGTAGTGAGATGACTGGGTGATTCGAGTTAGGGATGGGTATGAGACTCGAACTCGATGGGTTCCGACCCGATCCGATCGGGTCAGTTTTTTTTAAAAATTCGGGGTCAGGTTTAGGTTTATGGTAAAAAAAAAAAACCCAACCCCGAATTAAAAAAAAACTAACCCGATCGGGTAGGGTATTTTTTCAATTAAATCACTGTTTATATTGAATAAAAATAATATTTTTTATTATTTCGGGTCAGATTGAGTCCAGTCGGGTTTTTAAGTTATATATCGGGTCGGGTGAAATCTTGTTTCATACGGGTCGGGTCGGATCTCGGGTGGAAGAATCGTTGTTCTCGGGTCGGGTCGGGTGGACCAAAAATCCGACCCATGCCCATTCCTAGTTTGAGTTTGTTAGTTGTTATTTTTAATTTAATAGTTGAATTAATTATATTGTTATACATTATTTATTTATGGTCCACGATGATAAAAGATGTGATGTTTTTCAGGTTTAAAATGAATAATTTTAATTCATTATTAAATTCATGAATTCATATATGATTATAAATTTATCTGATAAATAAATTATAAATATTTAATTTAATTTAATATATTACTCATCAGGTGAAAAGACCATAACACCCAAATAAATTTGTTGCCCTTAATTACCATCAAAATGAACCTAACGCATGCTTATATTAATTTTAGGCAAATATATTGTCCAAAACTCCAAATGTCTAAATTATTATTTACAGCCTGTAAATGGCAAATTAAAATACAATAATGCCCATCCTAATAATCCATATTATCATGTATTAGTTACGTCATTTTAAGAAGGCATAATATTAAAATAAGTGCCTAAACTATACCCTAATTCTCAAATAGGTGCTTAAATTATTTTTTTCACTCATCCAATTACCACAAACGTTACCCATTTAAATGTCTCAGCCATAACAACTGTTAAATAGTCTCGTTAAATGATACGTGTGCATCTCCCTCTCAACTCTCCCTTCCCTTTTGTTATTTCCATATCCATGGCCAAACCGCCAAAATTCAAATGGCCAGCCAGTAAACAATCAATTATCACAATCGACTAAAGAGATTTAAGGGATTGGGTATTTTGATTTTAGGGATTAGGGATTAAAGTTTATGGATTTAGATTTTTTGTGTTTTGAGATGATAACAAGGGTTATGACCGGTCAGTGGGTGGTCGGCGATGTATGAGTGGCCAGTCGTCGATTGATAGGTGACCAGAAATGACCGGCAATTGAAGTAAATGGACTAGAATAAGAAATTTAGGGAGTTTGGGTTTTTTTTATATTTTTTAAAAGTAGGCCTTTTTCGAAAATAAAATATTTTTTTGAAAAATAAATTTTCAAAATTATCATATTGTGACACATGTCACTTAAAGGACTTTTTTAATGACCGTTCGAATCGAGGCATCTAAATGGACAACGTTTGTAACGTTAAACACCTAGATAAGTAAAAAACATAATTTAGGCACTTATTTAAGAATTAGATTATAGTTTAGACACTTATTTTTGGTATTAAGCCTTAAAAAAACATATGAAACCTGCCGGTTCAAGTTATTTTTCTTTTGCATCCGTAATTTTTTTTCCGCTACTTTCCTCCACCCTGCGCCGGTCCGCCACCGTCTCTCCGGTTCCGTGTCGG